TGGCTACCAAGGAGCCAATTAGGCAGCTAACATGACCTCACCTGATTTCCTCTTTTCATGAGTTTAGAGGAAACATATACATTTTTTAAAATGCTATCAATACTGATATCTCAGTAAACAATTCTAATAGCAAAACACACAGACACAGACACAGACACACAGACAGACAGACAGACAGACAGACAGACAGACAGACAGACAGACACACACACACACACACACAGATGTATATATTTTTTTACAACAATCAAGGAAAAGGTAAAACAGGTGAGATTGGTAGGACTACTAATTGATTGCTCGGTAACTAGGCACTTGCTGAGCCATCAATGTTTAAAGATTGTTCATAAACTGAAATCATGGAGGACATGGCATCTAATCTTCCCATACCAGCATCAGTGGGTTAAAGATGAATAAAAACAAAACATTCGTAAGTTTTCTGATCTACTGCAGATGTTGCAGTAGATCAAAATTCTAAACCTAGGCATCATTTAACAGGTAATAATTATCTATACATTTATTTATCATTTTTAGCAATTTCCTTTACAACTTTATGGTAACATTAAAATCAGCAAATACTTTTTCAAAAATATAGTTCTCTATTTCCAACTCTCACAATCTCAATCATTAAAATAATAAAAATAGGCTAACCATTTTGTACATCTGGCAATGAATTTTCCTCTGCTTGACAAAAATAACCAAACAAACATCTAACATAGCATATGGTTCGCTTCAAAAAACATAAAAAAGAGAAAACAGAAAAAGAAAAGAAACAATCCCAGTTCTAACCATTAACAAAGAAAAAATTACAAATGAAGCGGCTAGGTGTACAAGAAAGCTTCAAATACACTGGATCTGGAAACTCACTCTGGCAGATGTGAGGATTTAGTCGTAAAGGAGAGTGGTGTGAATTTAGAAGACTGCCTGAGTTTTTCCATAAACTTTCTAACTGCTATTGATAAATATAAATATAAATATATATTCTTTTTTCTTCTCCAGCTAATGTGTGTTCAGCTCAACTTTTTTTTTTTTTCTTTTTTAAAGATGCAAAGTATGAAATCCAGAATTTAAGGGGAAAAAAATGATACAAGCATTCCGAATCTGTGGCTTGTGAAGTGTCATGCTAAAGCTTAATATTGACTATCAGCTGTGATTTTCTTACAAGACAATCTTGATTCTGCCGCAGTGTGTCCCCAGACCCCCTCCGCCATTGGGTTATGGCTACCCTGGCAGAAAGGATATCAAGTTACAGCACTGGCCATGTACTGTACGAGGCAGCGCGCCAGCTGCGATCAACACCTCTACTTCAGTCACAATTTCCCTTTGTGAAATATGCACTCCGGATTTACTTGTCTGTAAACTCATCTCTTGAACCTAATTCAGTTGTTAAATATCATGCAGAAGGCCTTTGAAAATAAATAAATTAATAAAAAAAAAAAATAAAAAAATGAGACCATTAATGAGATTATTTATATTCTATTCTCTAAAAAAGTCAAAGTAAAGATGAAATCACAAAAACTTACCCCCACTTTTCTTAAAAGGTCTCCCACAATATTGAGAGCTGATATCCTTGCTGATGGCGTCATTGGTACACTTCCATTGTTTATGTTGTGCAAAGGGTGTGCTGTAAGCAAAAAAATGAGACCTGTAAATAGACTTCTAAATAAGGCATTCTGTTCAATGCCTGCTTGCAAAATATATGTGCACATTCATTACAAAAATTTATCTTGTGATTCAACACCATTGTTTGATAATCACATCTACAAAATACAACTCTGAAAAAAAAAAAAAAAAAAAATCATATATATATATATATATATATATATATATATATATATATATATATATATATATATATATATATATATATAGATATATATAGATATATATAGATATATATAGATATATATAGATATATATAGATATATATAGATTATATATATATATATATATATATATATATATGTATATATATATATATATATATATATATATATATATATATATATATATATATATATATATATATATGTATGTGTGTGTATATATATATGCAAACATACATACATACATACATACATATATTAAAACATAAAATGCACCAATATAATTGAAAAATCACTACTTAAAAATGTATTGAGATTATTATACATTACACACTACACCTATATCTCTATTGAACAAAAATGTATATAAATATCTATTTTCTGATTAAAACAGAAAAAAAATCAGAATTAAATATTCATCCAGTATTTTGAGTTTTTAAAAGATCAATTTATATCCTTACTGAAACCTACCACTAGTGTATACAATAATGCATATTTATCATTGATTTTATAGACAGACATTGCATGCACAAATAAAGAACCGTTTAAAGGGAAATGCACTGGCTGAAGGAGTGTGAGTAATGATTGCCTTACTCTTTTTATAAACAATGATGAAGTAGCTAACTCTTTTACTTTCTTGACTGAATTTTGTAATCTCCCTATAAGAAATAAGGAATAGAATCAGTCTTTGAATTAAGCTGATTCTAAGTCAAAAATATACTACCTCTTATTCTCATATTCTACCTCCATCTAAATCATTTTGTATTACATGTTTTACAAGTGTTTACATTTTCCTACAATAATGTTACTGTTTTTCTGCTTGTTACTACTTTATATAAAAATCTGCCTTTAAAAAAAGGGAGAAAGGAAAAATAAAATCAAGCACAAACGATAAGTTTGTCTTATCAAGGAAATATGCTTTTTCAAAAATAGAAATTCGAGAATCTCACATGCATTTATTAGCCAATCCGCACAACTTGTAAAAGTCAGTTCCAATACTCAACAGCATTTGATCTACTTCTCAAATAATAAAAACAAACTCTGGAATATATCAAAGCCAAATCAATGGTATCTGCCTGCTTACTTTTTACAGGTGTGCTTGGAACAGAATCTGTGAGCTGTGTGCTGGAAACAAGTTTATTGGAATCAACATTTTCATCAGAGACTGTCTGAGTAGGAGGCTGTAACTTGGGAGGAGGTTGAAGGTGCAGGTGATTATTCTGCTGGTGTTGCAAAGCCTTGTCATTATCTGGCTCGTCGTCGTCCTTGTTCTTTACACTCAGTTCCTGCCGAAGATCTGTCGGAAAACGACAGCTTTATCTTTCTATGTAAGGATTTAGAGTACACATCATTTCAATTTGTATTAAGACCATGAATATGTTGTCATATGGAACAGCAACAATATTGTGGATAAAGACTCATGAATTCTACACATTGTACTAAGAGAAGTTATATTATACAGTGTAGTGAACTCTTAGCCTTATTATGCCCTTATCAATGTCCTTTATAATCTAAATTTATTCCCCTGCAAATAATGTTCATTATCTCTTTCTTTATCAAGATCATTATCCCCTTACTTTACAGAAAAATAAAAAACTATAAAAAACACTATTGAACACAAAGGAACCTGCAAAGTCCAATCTAACACTAAACATGAGATTAAAATCAGCACAGGCACCAAATTCAGTTCCAAGTATTTCTCACCTCTGGCTTCGTCCTTCAGTCTTTGCACCATGATCTTCAGCGCCTCCTTTTCATCGAGCTCAGACTCAAGGAAGGCATTTCGCTCAATCGCTAAATTAAGCCTAGCCTCGAAGTCCTCTAAGGATGTCACTGTCGCCCTGGAAAATAATAACAAATTTAGGATTTCTCCCACTTGACTTGAAATAATAAATGATCTTCTTTAACTATTAAAGACTGAAATGTAAATGGAATTTATAGAAACCTAATAATTTTTATATAAGTTCTACTCAAATCATCCACCAAATGCTTTTGTCTTCAAAACAAACATTCATACATCCTACTAAAGTTATTTTAAAGTAGGACAAATAATTTTTTTTCCAACTAGGAGGAAAAGGAGACAGAAAAATCAAGAAGGCAGAGGAGCCTTCTGGATGAAGAGAAAGAGGAACAGAAGGGGAGAAATAAGAAATGAAGATGAGGACAAGGAGGAGATAAAGAGATGAGAGAAGGATGAAGATGAAATAGAGACTGAAGTATGAACTTTCAGGAGTCATACCCAAAGAAAAACTAAGAAATAAAAAGAACACTCATAAGGATGGAAAAAAAAGGGGAAAGGGAATGAAAATGCAGAATCAAGAGATAAGAGTAAATGAGAATATTTCTTGCATGAAACAAAGCATATGCAGCTCCTGGGAGTTTTCACCTACATCCAGCAGGTGAATTTACATTTCTGTAAAGAACACTGATTTAGAAATTAGCAAATGTCTTGAAGAAATTCAACATCCTCATGTTCAACATACACATCTACTGAAAGCAAAATATAAAAAATAAATAATCATACACCAACAAACATTCAGCAGGTTACTTTTACTTTTTACATATGAAAATGCCAATAAAACAATCCATGAACTGTGATAACAACTGAAAATAAACAATCAAAAAATAGGTCAAGAACTAACAAAAGAGATATTCACTTTCTAATGAGGCAAACACATCAGTTCTTGTCAGTTAATTTAACATTCAGGCAGACCTAAATGAAGATTCTTGTTGCTCTCTGTTACAATTTTTAAAAAGTATATAAAATTAAAGACAAAAATGATTTCTCCCAACGAATTATTTCAACTGAACCAAAATACAAAAACAAAATCTATGTGAGGCATCAATGTGTGTGGTTGTAGGTATATGCGCGTCAAAACGAATATACATGGCAAGCTACCTTACATTGCCTTTTCATTATTTAGTTGTATTTGCAAAAACAAAAAAAAGACAAAAATAATGAGGACAAACGAAAAAAAAAAAAACGAAACTAAAAGAAGAGAAGACATACACCTATCATCATCCTTACCTTTTAGCTCTTTCCAAATCATCATTTGCTTGCTCAAGTTCCCGGATGTAGCGTGTGAGGTCCTCTTTGATATTCTTAATTTCTGACAATTCCCCTTGTAGGGAGGACACTTGCCCGTTGAATTCATTGTGTAGACGCTCCAACCGTTCCTGCAATGGAAAGCATGCATTAGTCATTCATAAATAGACTAGCAAAAATGTATAAAGCTTAACTCAAAGGAAAAACGGAAAGAAAGAAAAAAGAAAAGAAAAAAAAAAACGGACAAAAACGAGTAAAAATAGACGTTTGTTAATAATGGCACAGGTTCCCAGCTCAACCTCAGCCTCTCCCCGGTGAGATCACTTTCTGCCGGCCATGACGTAATCCTGCGACCGCTGCCTCAAAAGCACAAGCAGGCAACGGAACCGAGATGTTATCATTGGCATCGCTGGTGAGTTGGATCGTGCGGCGCCCCTTGCAAGACGCCAAATAAAAAGTCGTTGCGGAAACTGAGCGACCATGATCTCTCCTCTCAACTTTTACAATACACCTCTCTCTCTCTCTCTCTCTCTCTCTCTCTCTCTCTCTCTCTCTCTCTCTCTCTCTCTCTCTCTCTCTCTCTCTCTCTCTCTCTCTCTCTCTCTCTCTCTCTCTCTCCACTTGTCGGCCTCCCATAACTTCTCCCTCTCCCTTTCTTCCTTCATATTTCTTATCCCCTCGGCTCACGTTTGACCCTGCCTAACCCCGGCGCTGGCGTTGCCGATATCGTGCCACAGGTTATCACGACTCATTTATATAAGAGCTACTCCTGTCGATAAAGGGCCCACTCTTTATATATTTCTTTACATATTTGTATATCAAATATAGAGTGCATTAGGAACAACGCAGTAAGTCTCTGACGTTCAAAATCCTGCGTGCCTAAAAGCCAATCAGCAATGGCGAAATTCTATGAGCAGGCAGGCATCAGGAGGGCAACGCATATGGAGCCACGCGAAAATGAAAAATGCCAAAGCCCTAACAAGGAAAGACGCGATAAACGATAACATTCAGGAACCTCGCTTCGACCGCCCGACCCATAAGCCGACAAAAAGGGCTGGGGGCGCCGGCGATCGCGGCAGGTGGAGCGGCAATCAATGTGGTGAAGTCAGCAACAAGGCACAGCGTCAGGCGAGAAGCCGAGATGACTCACAACTTCGACGGATACGAATGGCGAATCGATAAGGATTGGCAGGCCGGACAATGCGAACGGAAAGCGAAAGCAGGTATCAGGGGCGGCGGATGCGCTCGTAGGGGTGATGGGAAGAGAAGTACCCAGGGTGCGCCGCAGCAGCCATTGCGTCACGACCGCGAGAGGAGGCCTCGCAGGAAATGCTGAAATGGAATGGGCCGCAGGAGGGGTGAGAGGCTGGTGAAAGGGAGAATAAGCAGGCGTGGCAGGTTAGCAGAAGGGAGGCAATCCACTCGGATCCTGCTGCATTAAGGGTAATCGCACACATTGTTTGGTGGTAGGGGGGGGGGGGATGCATGTACCCACTCCATACTCAGTTATCCCGTGGATCAGCATAAACCTTCGGCCGCACCTCCAGCGCGGCACCTGCTCTGATCTCCGTCACGACATGGGTCTCGATTCCGGCTCGCCCAGGGTCCGCTTCGGGGGCGGGCTGTAGTATCTCCATGCGCAGTGTCTCACCCCCGACAATTCAACGCTGATAAAATAAATCCCGTGCAAGACACAGACCTTTCGGTATGCAAGACTAGTCACGTAAGTTAAATAAATACAAAAGCTCTCAATCGCCTCCCTTCGCCTTACGTCATCGCGGGAGCTGCTCTTCCAGTTGCGGCTCGACCCTTTATACATTTATTCATGACACCATTCATGGCACGGCGGGGCAGGAGGAAACGTGGCTGTGAGTAAGCGGAGGGGTCGAGCGGCGTCCGGTGGGGAGGAAGCAAAAGGCAAAGTGGATGCCCTGGACGGGTTCCTCCACGGGCTTGCAGCTGGTGAATGTAGGCATTGCGTGTGGCACATATGGTAACAGATGGTGCTGGTTCAGAGCGTTAGGGATGATGGCGGAAAGCAACCATCACACGAGTGGTCTGATAAAATCAGACGGTTAGTCTAGTGGGTTGGGCTCACACTGTAGATGACGATATGTAGAGGACAGCAAAAGCGGGGGCTGCCCAACGTGGCATTTCCTAAGCGTGAGGGGATGGATGAAGCCAGCTAGAGCGCGGGCGTCGATGCTCTTATCGACAACCCATATTAAGAAGCCTAAGATGAAGTAGATCTCATTCGCCCGCTGTCAGGCTCATTATGCATTCACGCCATGTTAATCTCCGTCCCAACGACTGTGGCGCGTGTTTACACCGCCACGGCTCGCTCGCAACATCGGCAGTTTCCAATGTTGTCGCGGAGTTGAACCAACTGCGATGGACCGGCAAACAAGACTCCGAACAAACAGCCGGCAGTTCCATGTCCGTCGCGAGGAACCGTTGGGCCATTCCAGGCACTGGGCGACGACGGCCGAACAGGCAGAGGCAGGCGAAGGTGAATAGGTGTGCGCTGTTGCGACAGGAGCCGCTGTCACCCTCCCCTCCATCCCTTGAGAAAAAGGCTTGGAAAAGGGAGGGGGAGTGGGAGAGAGTCGGCGACCTTGGCGGGCGTCATCGTCATCAGGTCGCACTGGTCATGGCTGCGTCAGTCGTCTTGCACCTTCCACAAATCATCCGAGCGATTAACCGAGGCTGGATGCGACTTTCTCAAGGCAGTTTCCCTTTCCTCGACCCATCTTGTTCCTGCCGCACCTAGCTGTTTTTTTTTCTTCCTTGAATTCATATTCTACACAAACAACTGGCCTCTTGACCTTACCGATCGCTTGCCTTGTTTCCTCCCGGCCGGCCGAGAACTTGTCTACTTCCTACCCAGGCACCTTTCGGCCTTTGCCCAAGACGGAATCTACAAGGCAGGGGGGGGGGGGGGGGGGGGGGGGGGGGGGGGGGGGGGGGGGGGGGGGGGGGGGGGGGGGGGGGGGGGGGGGGGGGGGGGGGGGGGGGGGGGGGGGGGGGGGGGGGGGGGGGGGGGGGGGGGGGGGGGGGGGGGGGGGGGGGGGGGGGGGGGGGGGGGGGGGGGGGGGGGGGGGGGGGGGGGGGGGGGGGGGGGGGGGGGGGGGGGGGGGGGGGGGGGGGGGGGGGGGGGGGGGGGGGGGGGGGGGGGGGGGGGGGGGGGGGGGGGGGGGGGGGGGGGGGGGGGGGGGGGGGGGGGGGGGGGGGGGGGGGGGGGGGGGGGGGGGGGGGGGGGGGGGGGGGGGGGGGGGGGGGGGGGGGGGGGGGGGGGGGGGGGGGGGGGGGGGGGGGGGGGGGGGGGGGGGGGGGGGGGGGGGGGGGGGGGGGGGGGGGGGGGGGGGGGGGGGGGGGGGGGGGGGGGGGGGGGGGGGGGGGGGGGGGGGGGGGGGGGGGGGGGGGGGGGGGGGGGGGGGGGGGGGGGGGGGGGGGGGGGGGGGGGGGGGGGGGGGGGGGGGGGGGGGGGGGGGGGGGGGGGGGGGGGGGGGGGGGGGGGGGGGGGGGGGGGGGGGGGGGGGGGGGGGGGGGGGGGGGGGGGGGGGGGGGGGGGGGGGGGGGGGGGGGGGGGGGGGGGGGGGGGGGGGGGGGGGGGGGGGGGGGGGGGGGGGGGGGGGGGGGGGGGGGGGGGGGGGGGGGGGGGGGGGGGGGGGGGGGGGGGGGGGGGGGGGGGGGGGGGGGGGGGGGGGGGGGGGGGGGGGGGGGGGGGGGGGGGGGGGGGGGGGGGGGGGGGGGGGGGGGGGGGGGGGGGGGGGGGGGGGGGGGGGGGGGGGGGGGGGGGGGGGGGGGGGGGGGGGGGGGGGGGGGGGGGGGGGGGGGGGGGGGGGGGGGGGGGGGGGGGGGGGGGGGGGGGGGGGGGGGGGGGGGGGGGGGGGGGGGGGGGGGGGGGGGGGGGGGGGGGGGGGGGGGGGGGGGGGGGGGGGGGGGGGGGGGGGGGGGGGGGGGGGGGGGGGGGGGGGGGGGGGGGGGGGGGGGGGGGGGGGGGGGGGGGGGGGGGGGGGGGGGGGGGGGGGGGGGGGGGGGGGGGGGGGGGGGGGGGGGGGGGGGGGGGGGGGGGGGGGGGGGGGGGGGGGGGGGGGGGGGGGGGGGGGGGGGGGGGGGGGGGGGGGGGGGGGGGGGGGGGGGGGGGGGGGGGGGGGGGGGGGGGGGGGGGGGGGGGGGGGGGGGGGGGGGGGGGGGGGGGGGGGGGGGGGGGGGGGGGGGGGGGGGGGGGGGGGGGGGGGGGGGGGGGGGGGGGGGGGGGGGGGGGGGGGGGGGGGGGGGGGGGGGGGGGGGGGGGGGGGGGGGGGGGGGGGGGGGGGGGGGGGGGGGGGGGGGGGGGGGGGGGGGGGGGGGGGGGGGGGGGGGGGGGGGGGGGGGGGGGGGGGGGGGGGGGGGGGGGGGGGGGGGGGGGGGGGGGGGGGGGGGGGGGGGGGGGGGGGGGGGGGGGGGGGGGGGGGGGGGGGGGGGGGGGGGGGGGGGGGGGGGGGGGGGGGGGGGGGGGGGGGGGGGGGGGGGGGGGGGGGGGGGGGGGGGGGGGGGGGGGGGGGGGGGGGGGGGGGGGGGGGGGGGGGGGGGGGGGGGGGGGGGGGGGGGGGGGGGGGGGGGGGGGGGGGGGGGGGGGGGGGGGGGGGGGGGGGGGGGGGGGGGGGGGGGGGGGGGGGGGGGGGGGGGGGGGGGGGGGGGGGGGGGGGGGGGGGGGGGGGGGGGGGGGGGGGGGGGGGGGGGGGGGGGGGGGGGGGGGGGGGGGGGGGGGGGGGGGGGGGGGGGGGGGGGGGGGGGGGGGGGGGGGGGGGGGGGGGGGGGGGGGGGGGGGGGGGGGGGGGGGGGGGGGGGGGGGGGGGGGGGGGGGGGGGGGGGGGGGGGGGGGGGGGGGGGGGGGGGGGGGGGGGGGGGGGGGGGGGGGGGGGGGGGGGGGGGGGGGGGGGGGGGGGGGGGGGGGGGGGCTTTAAGTGACAGGAACGAAAGATGAAGAAAACGTTGAAGGAATGAAGAAGAACTGAAGTTTAAAAACTACTAAGATTTTTGCTTCCGTCTTCCTTTCCACAGACATATAAAGAGCCAAACAAAGCCTATTTCAGAGCTACACTCCCGGCGCTTCAGAGAAAGGGTGAATACTAGCCATGAGACCACG